AGCTCGCAGTTTAGCTAAAAAACAAGAGTACCTTATTTTGTATCCTAATATTCATAAATGTCAATTTTCACAAAAATGGGTTGATGGATTTATATCTTGCCATTTGTTAGTAAATCGTCGATGTACTATAGTAGTACAAAGATTATCTGAAGAATATATTGAAGAACAACAAAATTTTTTATCATATATTCTTTATTTACGAACTGAACATAATTACTCTTTAAATTTAATCAGAAATATGGATGAAACTCCTATGTCATTTAATATGCCAAGTCAAACAACTGTTGATGAATGTGGAAAGCAAACCATTTCAATTCTTACAACAGGCCATGAACATACCAATTTTACAGTAACTCTTGCTTATCTTGTGGATGGTACTAAACTTCCTCCATTTATTATTTTTAAGTTGGTTAATGTATCATGAGAACAATTTTCAAATGGTGTATATGTTCATGCAAATCCTAATGGATGGATGGACAAAAAGAAATGATTTGGTGAATAGAGAATGTATGGTGTCAACGGGTTAATTTGAGTTCAAATTCACGTTTACTTCTTGTTCTTGATTCATTTACTGCTTATAGAACAGATGCTGTTAAACGTCGTCTCTATGAAAAAACACAAATATTGCTATTATTCCAGGTGGGTTGACTTCACACTTACAACCATTAGATGTGTCTTTAAATAAAGCATTTAAAGCTAGAATAAGTATAAAAATTACATTATATAAAGCAAATAAATATTGTTATATGATACTTATCTAATATTTCATTAATAAGTTCGTCATGCTTATAATAATTGGATGGGTAAGGCTATAAAAGAATATACACCATTAGGTAAAATCAAACGACTATCATATTCATTAGTAGCAAATTGGATTAAAGAAGCATGGGATAAGATTGATCTTATAATGATACAACGGTCCAGTATTGTGAAGTTTCAACAGAAGTAGATGGCTCTGAAGATCATTCAATTTTTGATTTTGAGAAAGTTTCGGGTAAAAGAAGTGCAGAAATTGATGTAGAAGAAGAAGGGGAAAATGACGAAATTTTAGATAATAATAATGATTCAGAATGTGAATATTATGAAAATGAAGAGGGAAATTATATTAATATTTGGGATTAATTAATTAATAGATAATAATGAATAACAAACCTTATATTTTCACTAGATTAGTTTTATCTTCAACTATTTTTACAATATTCCGAGCACATTTTGCAGTTTACAATATTAGTTTAATGAAATAATAAACACAAAGACAAAATTTGGCTGTATTTTTCAGAATCGTTTATTTTTATATTAATAATATATAAAATAAATTACAAGTTTTTTTGCGATTAAAAGCCTTTGCAATAAAAAGTTTTTGTAATTTAAAAAAAAAGATTGGGAAATCTAATTCACTAATTTTAAGTACCCGAGTATTAATCTATTTTTGCGAATTTGATTTTGAAAAGGATCTGGATACTAACCATGTTTAGATCATCGTAGACGGTGAATAGTATTCGGGTCTTAATCACGGGGGTATTATTTTTAGGGGATACTGTAAGCAGTGCTAAACGGTAATTAGCTATGAATAAAAAATAAGAAGTAGTTGTTTTTATTTTACCCTACACAATTATCATATGCAATAATTAATTTTTTTTCTTCATGATTATATTTTTGAATTGCATGTAAAATTAAACTTAATGTATAATTAACCTTTTCTTATTTACCATCATCAGATATTTTATCTTCATCAATTACATAATTAGACTGTTGTGTATTAGAAAAATTATTAGTATTACAAATATTAAATAAATGCACCTTTTGTGAACTTTTGAAAAATAAAGATCCTACTTTCTGTAACAAGTATAGAATTTGCATATTCTGAGTTCAGTCATATGCAATATGAGCACACCCTTCAAATGTTTGAATAATAATTGAGATTCAGATGAATTAGGATTATTTCTGCCATTTTCAATTATACACGTAATATTAAAATTATAATAATCTCGCTCTTACTATATACACTTTAAATAGATCAAGTAATTTTCTGTAATTTTCATTTTTTCTTATATTGCATAATATATTGAATGTTTATTTTCATTAATTCACACTTTTTACATAAATCAGATTTTGGAAACATAAATTAAAGTGATGGTATTAAAGATTTTCAAATATTAACAAAAGTTTGTTTAACCATTATATGGACTTCTAACCTTCTATTTTATATTTTTTCTTATAAACCTGCACATAATCACAATATACTGAAAAATAGTTGTAACTAGTTGAAAAAATACAATTGCCATAGTATTTTTATTGCAATGTCGCCCAGGTGAAGATATACTATATACATCTGAATAGTTTTTTAAAAATGCATGTATATCATATGTTACATTATAATTAATTTTGATGCGATTCATATTTTTTAAAGCTCTATCAGTATTACTATGTATATATTTTTTAATACCATATTCTTTTAAATGTTGTATAATCGTATTTAAATATTTATGACTAACTCCAATAAGATTTTCATACGTCATGTGATAAATTAAAAGATCATTATTATAACAATAATTAAAGCGTACAAATTTTCTATTTTCACTATTTTTTCTTGTATTTTCATCCTTTTGAAAGGTCATAAGTTATCCTTTAATTACCATATCTCACATTTTTTTGTCTAAACTTTAAAATTCAATTTAATATGTAAAAAACCACTTAGGATTGATTTTTGTAAAATAAGGTTGACTAGAAGAATAATATAAATACTTTTTTTTTTTAAAAAACTCATTAACTTTTAATCTCAATTAATTATAAACTTTATCTTTAATATAATTATTAGAATTTTTCTCAAATTCAAAATTATCTAAATGAGTATTGGCTAATTTTAATGATAAATCTATTAAATCTGAATTATCATCATTATTTAGTGTAAAACTAGATTCTTCTTTATTTTTAGAATATAAATATTCATTAAAAAAGATATTATCTAGGTCTTTTAAAACAGCTAAAATAGTTTTATTTGCATCTTTTTCAATAGAATTAATATTGTACTTCATATTTTTATTAAAAATTAATTTTGTGATATTTACATTTTTTATAATATTTATAACAATAATTCAAAGAAAAAAGGTTAATTGTGAACTTTTTTATTAAATATATCTAATGGAAAAATTTACCTCCATAAAGACAAGATCGACAAGTATCTGAAAATCAAAAATCCTAAAATCACATAATCGGTTTGAGCCCCACCTTTTGCTATGGGTCTATTCATATTTTAAATGAATTTTATTGATTAATATGTAATATTTGATTTACAATATATCATTTTATTAAAAATATTTATTATTTATTTATTATATTATTGAAAATGCATTGATATAATCTATATTTTTTATAACATATAATATATTTATACCTATTAATTTTTTTTTATATGTATCTATAAATCTTTAAGATCTTCAAATATAATATTGAATTGTTTTTAAAAAAATTAAATTTAATGTTTCAAAAACTGTTTTTTCTAATTTTTTAAAAGAATAATACAATTATTACAAATATATTATTAGTAGTATTCTAAAATATTTTAATAAAATTAAGATCATAATGAAATTTTAAATTTAAAACAAATATAATTTAAATTTTTTTATGATTATAATTCATATTCTTTTAAAATTAAATAAATTTCTTTTAGTTGTTTATTTGTAAGATATATAAATTGTATTGATTCATTAGACATTATTTTATTTCTAAACTTTCTTTTATTATACAGTTTAAGATTCATTTTTGATATAATTAAAGCATTCTAACATATATAATATGAGATGTTACATTATCAAATACTAATATACCAATTTCATCAGAATATAATTTTTCAAAAATTGAAATTGTCTTTTTAATAATCTAATTATAAAATAATTAATAATTAATAATTTAAAAAAAAATAATAAAAAAAATAAATAAAATAAAATATTTACTTATATAATCAAACTTTTAGTTTTCTACTAACTATCATAATTACAATCTGATTCATTATAACACATGTTTTATCTTATTCAAATTTTATTTGACTATCACCTTCTATTAAAAATTACTAATATATAAATTTAAACCTGCTTTTTTTTTATAAAGAAATTGATATTTAGTGGATTATCAAAAGGTTTTTTATTATCAATAATATAAAATACTAATTTATCGTGAATCACTAAAATATATTTTTTATCACCTTCATTTAAATTAATTTCTATTAATATTATAATATTATTATCTAAAAGTTTTAGCATCTATTGTTTCAATTTTATTACTTATATTAAAAATTTTTATTGATTTTCAAACATATTAGGTCTTTTATATTTACTATAATAATATCTTTATTTTCTATATAAAATATCTAATCAAAATATTTTAATCATATTCTTACAGTAGTATTTGAAATTGATTTTTTGTTTTCAATTTTAATACTTGAAAAACTTCTTGTTCAATATATATTTTAAATTTGTTTACAGTTATATCATAACTAATACTTTAAAGATATTTAGTAATCATTTGATAAATATCTTAATTACCTATTAAACTTTTAATTTTTGATATTTACCATGTATTGAAGTTGGAATTGAATGATACATAATAAAATTTTATGTTTATGTTTTAATTAAATATGCCTAATATTTCCTTTCTAATAAAAATTGCAATTATTCTATTTACTTCTATGTATCTATAATCAGCTAATCTTAAGTTAATATATTAAAAAATAAGCTGTAACTGATCTTTAACTTGGGAAATTAATGATTTGTTTTGAATTAAAATATTTAACTTTTTTAATGCTAAATTAAACCCTTCAATCTTTATTATTTCTTTAAGATTGATTAAATTATTGGCTATATTATTAATTTGACTATTTAATAAAGAAATAGATGTAGAATTATTAAAGTATTTGGTAATATTAGAAAAACCTTTACTTACTAATTTTAAAATTGCTTTTTTTCATTTTTTAGTTCTATTAAAATTTTTATGATAAGCTAATGGACATGCATAATTTTAAAGTAGCAGAATTCTTTATATTTTGACATATAATATCAAATGTAAATGATATAATCTTATCTATAGTCTATTCTAAACTATTATTATTTTAAATATTATTTTCCTCTAAACTATCAGATAATTTATTATCTAATATTAATCTATTTTTCTTAGCAACTTGTAGTTTTAACCATTTGCTTTTTTGTGTAGCAGCCAGTTGAATGTTATGAGACTTAGAAGGTATATTACATAATTTTTTAATTAATACTATTAAAAAATTTTTTTTTTTAAAAAAAAAATTTAAGGGATTATTTTTTAAAAAGATTCATAAGAAGGAAGTTTATAAAAAAATTTGAATTATTTTTTAAAATAAAAAAAAAAAGAAAATTTATCTTTTTTTAAAATTTGAATGAATTTTTATTTTTTTTTTATAAAAAAAGAAAAACTCACATTTTCATTATTCTAAAAAATTTGAATTTGTTTTATTTTTTCTTTAAAAAAAAAAAAAAAAATAAAGAACTTTGGTTTCAATTTAGGATTTATGAATTTTATTTCTTTAAAAAAAAAATTGTTTTACAAAAAAAAAGGTTCAGTCTTTATTTTTTTAAAAGAAAAAAAAAATTTAAAGTTTTTAAGTCAATATTATTTTTTATTATAGTTAAAATCAAAGAAAAGCAAAGAAGACATTTAGGTATCGCATATCTAATATAATTGTTCCCATTTTAAGATTTAAGACCGTTCTATTTTAAACTTTTTGATTTATATTTTTTTTGATTCAAATTAGGTAATTTCTGTAATTCCGGCCAACTTTATATGGCCAAATTCGTATCAAATTTAATAAAATACCCCGACTTCAATTTTATATAACTAATATTACAATTTATTTAGCAAGAAAAGGGCTCTGTCATGTGAAAGATAATGATCTAACCTATCATTAACAGAAAGTTTACTTAAAACAATCTATTGGTCACTTCTATTCTTTTGACGTTATGTAATCAAAAGTGGTGGCTTTAGACCGTTCGCAACGATTTTTAATTTCGTGTAAGGTTGTACATTATGGCTCAAAAAATGGAATTAACGAAAAATCACGTGCACGTGACAAATTGTCACAAGATCACTTTTGCCAAGAAAAAAATATTCGATCAAGGATCCAGTGAACTCTATTATACATGTTAAAAAGATAAAGTCTGATATAAGTAAACAATTAATTTTCGCAACACAGGAAAAATGCCAATAATTTATTTTACAGTCTAAGAGTACTTGTGATAGCTAGAAAGAAAATAGTGGTAAGCATTAAATCTACATTAATTAATATCGACCAAACCATAATGGACATTCCCTTTTCACACAGTGAGTTTTACTGACAAGCCTTTTAAATTCAGGTGTGTCCAACGTTTTCCTTTTGAATGATGATTTCAACTCTAACGGAACTAAGCCTGGATTTTGGAGTTTATCAATGAAGACATCATAAGACTTCATTAAAATATCTCGTATATTTAATAGAATATGTAATTCGTCTATAAAAGTAAATAAGCCCTTTACTGTTTCGGGTATAGAAATTTGAGCAATATGATTCATTGTATATAATCCTTCGCCATTTAAATCAAGCACATAGAAATCCAATTTGTATGCAATACATTGAAATCCTAATATTTTTATCCCAGCTCCTTGTAAAATTGCCGAGTCAATACAATCTTTCATGAATATACCTATCCTGATTAGATCAAGACAATTTTTATAAACGTTGTTTTTTTCCGATGGTCCAGTAACTTCGCCAACATAAATCACATTTTTCGCACGAGACTGATAATTAAGTGATACTACGAAGTCTGGCTGTTTCGTTCTTGATCCATCGAATTTCCTTATTTTACTTTCTGCAAGGGCCGTGTTTGGCCATTGTACTAGATATTTATCAGGGTCATGAAATGCTTCCTTCATAATTCCATTTAAAAAGTTTGTAATTAAAGTTAATTCGCTTGGTTCATTCCGGATCTTATCAAATGGCAAAGATCTTATCAAGTCTATCATTAAAATCCCGAAATTGTCTCTTAATTCACTTCTATTTGCAATGTTCTTACATAAGAAATCAATTGCACTACCACGCGAATCTCTTAAACACGTTTTGATTGCATTTCTGTATATGTTCTCAATTTCCGTATCCAATGTTATGGATAAAGTTGGCGCATATTCGTGGTAAATCGATTCAAGTATTTGTAAACCAAATACCTCTACCATTTTTGTCGAATAAGAATTTGGGATCAAAACAAGTATAGATGACAATGATAAGATTTCGTGAGTATGTGACTCAACATACAAGCCTTTGTTGTTAGCGTGCAATATGGCTTCGTCAATATAAGTTCTAAATTTTTCTGATATTAACGTCATTTACAGTCGGTCAAATTCTGAACTCTTTGATGATGAAAATCTTGGAGAAACATTGGTAATAATAACGTTTTCATCTTCAGTATCTTCAGTAAAAGGATCATCATGAGAATGTGGTGTCGGAGATGTATATCTACTGTCTTGAACTTCATAACATGAATTAGAATTAACATACGGACCATCACTTGATCCTGAATCATGTTCATACTCCTGGCAATTAAAAATAAAAAAAAAAATGAGCAATCCATCAAAATAAGAAATTTTGCTGGACTATAAATATGGAAATATAATACTTTGTTTTCTGGAGTTTGTGGCTCCACATTATCGACTTGAAGACGTTGGCGTTTATGCGAAACATCAAGGCCAAGATCCTTATTTTCCAAACAGTTCACAAATTTATTTCGCACAATCATTTCTTGTTTCGTAATCTCCTCCCGTATAGTCTGCTCTCGTTCAAATGTCGAGGACACAACATTGGTGATATGTTTTTCCTGAAAAAACAAACAGAAATATATTAAGGATTTATCATGCCATGTGCATCTTTATAATACTTCATACCACTAGAGCCGTGCGTTCAGCAGCTTCAGTAAATTTTCGTTTTTGTGATGACGCAACGGTATTCCAAAACTCATTAATTAACTGCGATTTCTTTTCGTTCTATGAAATTACGTGGTATTAGTAATAGCTCAAAAAGAAAACAAATAGTACTTTTTAGGAAGTTTCAGTGATAAGACTAGAGTCAGGACGGAACCACCACGAGCCGTAGATCATCACTTCCCGATCGTAGTCAGGAAGTGTGGGTGATTGAACGCAGGTCGGACCCCATCCAAAGAACTATTGTTCCTTAGACCCGTCCACTGACAACCAGAAAGAATAATACAGAACGTCCACTGACGGCCAGTATGAAAAAATCACAGACAGGGTGGAACCACCACGAGCCGTAGATCATCACTTCCCGATCGTAGTCAGGAAGTGTGGGTGGTTGAACGCAGGTCGGACCCCATTCAAAGGATTATTGCCCTTAGACCCACCCACTGCCAAACAAAAATAAAAAATTATTTAACCTGAAAAGAGACAAGCACATTTCCTGCCTTCTTTATCATAGCTTTCTTTGCTTGTTTCGAATTCAATATATTTGATAGATTTCGAGTATACCGGGCATGTTCTTTTTTTCTGTCTGGCTGGAAATCAATGCTATTTTGGCGATATAATTACTTTTTTTAAAATTTTTATAAGCTTCTTGTTTATAATATAGTTATATATATTTTTTATATTTTTGCAGAAAAACGCGTCAAAATACAATATGAAATTTTTTTTTATGTAAAATTATACTATGTACAAAATTATTTTAACGTGTTTTATGTAAATAAAAAAAAGAAAAAAATTGAAACAAAAAAAGACCTATAAATGCGTGCGGAAGGTACACAGCATGATGGAAGTTTGTTTTAATTGGTTTAATATTTGTGATCTACATAAAATGTTACACCAAATCAAACCAATAAA